GGCCGCAAGGGCCGCGCGCGCGGCGGCGACGCGCTCCGCGGCGGAGACGAGCGCCGCGAGGCGTTCGTTCGCGGCTTCGAGCGCCGCGCCGCGCGCGCCGAGCGCGCGCGCGCGCTCGAGGCCCGCGCGGAGCTCGTCGATGGTGTCGCAGCCCGCGAGATCCGCGACGGCCGCGGCGCGGTCCTTGAGCACCTGCAGCGCCTCGGCGACCCTGGCGTCGACGGCCGCGAGGACGGGATGGTCGTCGCCGACGGTCTTTCGACGGCGGCTCGCGACGGCCTCGAGCTCCGTGGCGACGTCGCCGGCGTCCGCGGGCGCGGGCCGCGCGGCGGCGAACGCCAGGGCGCCCTCGAGGTCCGCGACGGCGGCCTCGAGCGCGTCGAGCCGCCCCGCCGCGTCCTCGAGGTCCGCCGCTTCCGCGCCGAGCGCGCGGCACTTCGCCAGCGCCTCCCGGAGCGCGTCGATCGTCGCGGCGTCGTCGAGCGCGGCCACGGCGGCGGCGCGGTCGCGGAGCGTCCGCTCCGCGGCGTCGAGGAGCGCCCAGGCCGCCCGGACGGCCTCGGAAGACCCGAAGAGAGGCTCCGCGTCCGCGAGGGCCGCCCTGAGGCTCGCGGCGACGGCGTCCGCGGCGGCCGCGCCGGGCCGCTCCCGCGCGTCGGCGATGGCCCGGGCGAGCGCCGCCGCCGCGGTCTTGCGGCTGCCGATGGCCCGCGCGAGCGCCTCGGAGACGCCCTCGTCGTCGACGACGAGGCCCGCGTCGCCCGCGGCGTTGCTCGCGCACCGGAGGCCGTCGAGCGCGTCCTGGCGCGCCGCCGCGTCCATGTCCGGCCCCGCGTCCAGGGCGGCCCGGGCCTCGCGCAGCGCGGCCTTGAACGCGTCGCTTGCGGCGACGACGCCGGCGACGAGCTTCCGCCGCGTCGTCGCCGCGTAGACCTCCGGCGCGTCCGCCGCGACGCGCTCCGCCGCGCCCGCGAGCGCCGCGTCGAGGGCCGCGACCGTCGCCTTGGTCCAGAGGTCCGGCGCCGACGGCCGCGCGTCCGCCAGAGCCGCGCGGAGCGCCTGGAGCGCTCTGGCCTGCGCCGCCGCGAGCTCCCGCAGCTCCGCCGCGACGGCCGCGGCTTGCTCTAGCGCCGCCGGGAGGCCGTCGTCGTCGTCGCCCGCGACGAGGGGCCCGCCGGCGGCGGCGCCCGCCTCGACGGCCTTCTCGACGGCGTCGGCGTGGTCTTCGTACGCGCGCGTCGCCTCCGCGCCTTTTTTCCCGTCCGCCGCGGCCGCCTCCACCACGGCCGTCGCGTCGAGGCGCAGCGAGATGGCCACGAGGGCCGCCTTGGCCTCCAGGACGACGTCGACGTCGCCACCGAGCACGTCCGCCGCGTCCGCGAGCGCGGCCTCGACGGCCGCGCGGCGCGCCCTGAACGTGGGCGTCCGCGCGGCCTTGGCCAGCTGGGACCGCGCCCGGGCGCGCCGCAGCCGCAGGTCCCGGTCCTCCCTGAGGCGCCGCAGGCGGAAGCGGCTCGCGTAGGCGCGGTAGCAGTTCTGGAGCACGACGGCCCGCTTCGCGTAGTACGCCGCGACGGCGTCCCGCAGCGCGTCCGTCGCGCCGTCGCGCAGGAACAGGAGCGACGTGCCCACGGCGAACTGGCCCGCGTCGAGGTGGCGCCCGCAGAGGCCGAGGCACCGGGTCCGGTCGTCGCCGTCGCGCCCCGCGAGCTCCGAATAGTCCGAGAGCAGCCGGTCGAAGGGGAGCCGCACGGGGTAGCCGCTCCGGCGGATGCGCACGGCCTCGAGCGTGCCCGAGTACATGAGCTGCTCGGCGATCATGGGCCGCGACGCGCAGTCCGCCGCGAAGGCGCCGTTGGGCTTGATGGTCTTGACGTAGTGGGGCTCCGTCGCGTCGAGCGCGACCCGCAGCGCGCCGAGCTGCTTCCGGAACTTGGACGACACGGACGACGCCGCCGCGAAGCCCCGGTGGCCGCCGCCGCCGCCCGCGCGCGGGAAGAGGGCCGCGACGAGGCCCGTCGGCGCCGCGCCGCCGAGCGCGAACTCGAGCTCGGGCGACAGCGGGTCCGAGTTCTTCGCGATGAACTCGTCGGCGACGTAGCTCACGTCGCCGGCGAAGTGCTTGACGACGAAGCCCGCGGCGCCGAAGCGGCACTTGGCGTAGGCGGGGTGCTCGCCGAGCGCGCGGTGGAAGACGGACGCGAGCTGCGCGCCGTCGACGGACCGCTTGCTCGAGAGGAGCGTCTGCTCCTCGAGGAGCGCGAGGAGCGACGCCTTCTTCGCGCCGATGAGGTCCAGGACGCCGCCGTTGTCCGCGAAGGACACGGAGCCGCACTCGAGGCCCTCGCGCGCGTACAGCTCGCGCTCGCGGACGAAGACGTGCTCGTTGAACTGCTTCTGCAACACCTCGTTCGTGTAATTAATGCAAAGCTGCTCGAGCGAGTTGTCCTCGAAGATCTCGAAGCCAAAAATGTCCAGGATGCCGATGAACGCGGCCGCGCCGCCCTCCGCGCCGCCGTGCGCGTGATTCACGCGCGCCACGACCCAGTCGAAGAGGCGGCCGTAGGCGTGCTTCACGGCCGCCAGCAGGTTCCCGCGGACCTCGTGGCCGTTCAAATTGACCTCCGTGATGCTCCCGCGGCCCGACGTCGACGCGCGCACCGCGACGGCGGCCTCGAGCGCGGAGCCGTCGACGCCCAACTTCTCCGCGGCGAGCTCGAGCGCCGCGCGCGACGGCCCGCTGAACGCGACCCGCGCGTTCTCGTCGGCGTCGTCGGGCTCGACGTTGCCGAGGGCGAGGAGCGCCCCGAGCAGGTCCCAGATCGCCGGCCGCTCCGCGGACACGGCGACGTCGCCGAGCGCCGATTCCAGCGCGCCGAAGTCCGCGCCGTCGTCGACGCCGTCGACCGTCGCCGCGCCGCCGGCGAGCGTCGCGTAGGCCGCCGGATCCTCGGCGAGCCAGTCGCGCGTCCCCGACGCGAGGAGCTCGTAGAAGGCGTGGTAGCCCCGCTCGCCGGGGCGCACGCGCGCGAGCCGCGACTTCTCGAGGAGAAACGTCTCCGTCGTCGCCGCGGCGATGCGGCGGCTGCCCGTCCCGTAGAGGAGGCGGATGTACTTGCCGAAGCGGCTCGAGTTGTTGTTCCGCAGGGTCTTCGCGTTGCCGAAGGCCTCGAGGACGACGTTGGAGCCGTAGAGCTGCGCGACGAGGTCCGGGCCCGACGCCTGGGCAGGAAAAGGGTGATTCAACGTCGCTTCAACGTGAGTGTTCCGCGCGCGCGCGTCCCGGAAAAAAGCATCCACGCTTCGAGACCGTTCCGAGGGATGATCGCTCGTCCAAAGATCAGCCGAAACGAGTGGAAAGCGGCCGAGCTAGGAGCCTTTGAAGTTGGGAATTTCGCTCTCTTGTCCTGCCCCGCCCGCCGCGTCGGCGCCGCACGACGCGCCCGCGTGCACGAGCCAGCGCATGACGAGCTTCGACGCCTCGGTCTTGCCCGCGCCGGACTCGCCGGAGACGACGACGGACTGGCCGCCGCCCGTCGCGAGGAGCCGCTTCAGAGCGCGGCGCGCGACGTCGAAGACGTGCGGCGCGCCCGCGTCGTCCGGCAGCTCCAGCGCCGCGGCGACGTCCTCCGCCGGCGGCAGCTCGTAGAGGCCCGGGATGGCCTTGTAGGGGTTCACGCTCAGGAGCACGGGGCCGACGGCCGTGTAGATGGCGTCGGCCGCGTGGCGCCGCGCGAGCGCGTCCAAAAGCGGCGCCTCGCTGAGGTTGTTGACGCGCATGAGGTCGTCGACGGGCACGAGGTGGCTCGGGTCGAAGTCGCGCACGTCCTTGCGCCGGAAGCGCTGGGGGTTGCCGTCGAGGCCCGCGACCTCGATCTCCAGCTCCTCGCCGGGGCGCACGAGGGCCGTCGCGAGGCGCCAGACGTCGCGCTTGCAGGGCACCCAGACCCGCTCCTCGAGGGCGTGCGTCGCCGCGTCGGGGCCGACGGCGTCGATGACGACGTCGGCGAGGGCCGCGGGCGCGTCGTCCGCCATATTCGTTCTGTGGCTGCCCAGCCTCTACAGTTTCTTTAGACAGTTCCAAAAGGCCGGCAAGTTGAAGGTGCCGAAAAGGGCTGCCAACGCAATGAAATGCTTCTCTCTCTGAGCTGGGCTACGGCGCCGCTCCCTTCGAGGCGCCACTAAGCACCATGTGGGCCGTGGACGCGCGGTCCGGGAGCAACGGCCCCAGCGCCGTCGCGACGCTGACGCCCATCGCGCTCCACTCCCTGCGCGCCCTCACCAAGTCCGCGCACATCTACGAGCAGCTGCGGCACGACGACTGGGTCGAGCGGCGCGCGGGCGCCGCGGCCGTCGGCGACATGGACGTGGGCTGGGAGGCCGCCGCGCTGCTGCCCGTCGTCGCGCGCCTCGCGCGGGCCGACGTCGACGCGCGCGTGCGCCGCAAGTGCGTCATGGTCCTCGCGGCCTGGGGCGAGCTCGCCGGCGAGCACGTCGACGCCGTCTGCGGCGTGCTGCGCGGCGACGAGGACTTTGACGCCGACGGCGACGCGCAGATCCGCTGGGAGGCGGCCATCGCTCTACCGAAAGTTGTGGGCGCCAGGGCAGCAAAAGGGTGCGAAATTCCCAACTTCAAAGGCTCATATCTCGGCCGTTTTCCACTCGTTTTGGCTGATTTTTGGACGAGCGATCATCTCTCGGAACGGTCTCGAAGCGTGGATGCTTTTTTCGGAACGCGCGCGCGTGGAACACTCACGTTGAAGCGACGTTGAATCACCCTTTTGCTGCCCAGGTCGGCGCGCACGCGCTCCACGAGGCGCTCGCCGGCGACGACGAGAACAATTCGACGCCGTCGGCGCTCGCCGCCGCCGCCGCGCTCCTCGCGGCGCGCCGGGACGACGCGGACCGCGACGTCCGGTCCAAGGCCGCCGAGGTCATCGACCGGACGAAGGACGACTACGCGAGGCTGACCGCGAAGCGCGACCGGACCGTGACGCGCCGGAGGTCGGACGCCGAGTACTGCGACTCCGGGGACCACCCCCTGCTGGCCATCATGGAGGAGTGGGCCAAGCGGGCGTACCGGCGCATGGTGGCGTCGAAACGGGCCCTGAGCCTCCGCGTCGCCGGCTACGTCGCCGCGGCCCGCGGCGCGGGCGCGGACGTCGTCCGGGG